AGGGGCCGTTCTGCAAGTACTTCAGGTCCTGGTAGTTAAACCTTGTGTGCCAGCTGTGCCTCTTCCTGGAAATATCTGATTTGGCTGCAGTGACACATACCTTAGCTGCATCTCATTTGAGTGATTGTAACACTCTCAACATGGAGCTGCCTTTGCAGACAATTCAAAAACTTCACCTGGTTCAAAATGCTGCAGCTAGAGGCCTGGGGGATGGCTACGGGGAGCATGTAATTTCCTTTTTACAGCTGCTTCATTAGTTGCTGGTCCACTTCCATCAGGATTCAAAGTCCTGGTTTTCACCTATACGGCTTGCATCCAAGCTGTCTTAAATGATCATATCTCCTTGTAAGAGCCTAAGGACTTTAGGGGAGGCCCTTCTTTTAGTCCCACTGCCTTCACAGATGTATCTGATGGCAGCGCAAGAGAAATCATTCTCTGTGGCTGCTCCTGTGTGTGGAATGACTTCCACTGAGAGTCTTGCCCTCCCCCTTCTTGTGACAGGTGAATGCCATCCTTTTTAGACAGGCTTTTAACAACTAAGTGAGTGGGGAAGAATCTTGATTTTGGATGCTGCACATTATTTTTATTTAATGTGTCGTTTAAAGTGTTTCAAATCATTTTGACTAATTGTTCTAGTACTGTACTATTATATGTTTATTTTTTGTAATGCTATGATTTATTGAACTTGTAGTTGGTTTGCTTTTTAATAATTTGCGAACTGCCTTGAGTGCATTCACAGGGACGAAGGTGGCATAAAAATGTAATAAGTGCATCAAATCAACTAACAAATAAATAGTTCATTCTGAGCCTAAACTGAACCTTCAGTCAGAGCCAATTTTTATGAGACGCTGTGCAAATTCTGTATGACACTTCATTCAGACAGAGTCATTGTGAGATACTGGCATGAAACTCATACTACCACCTTCTGTCCTTCTGCAGATCTTCCTGCATCTCTCTGTTTCCAGGCTGCTGCAATGGTGCAAAGGAGCAAGATACAGAAATGCATTACTGGATGGAGCTGTTGTTCCGTCTTAAGCAGCAGAGTCTAGACTGAATTTTCATCAACATTATTATGGTGTCCCCACCCCCATCTTGCTTTGCTCTGTGTCGTTTTGGATTTATCCCAACACCTCTTTGTTGCCGTCACCCTACTTGGGTAGAGCTCCAGCTATGCAGTAAGGAGTCTGCTAATATATTCCTTCCCTGGTCTGACCTCAGACAGGAGTATCTTTTCCTGGCTGTATTTTAAAGGCACATACAGCCTAGCTAATGCGTCTCTGATCTGAGGAGCACAAATCAAAAGGCGTGCTACCAAGAGAAGCTTGACACTCCCTACCTCCTTCCGTGGGAAGCTTAGTTGGAAGGATTCTCCTTCTTCTTCCCTGTTGAGCTGAGACAAAACAGGAACCTCTCTGCTCGAGAGATGCTCCAGCCTGCAAAACCACAGCCGAGTGTTCCCTTCTCTTGTTACGCACCAATTAGTACAGTATTCATAATTTGTAGGTTTTTGCACTTGGCTTTGGGCAGATAACGAGTACAGGAGGAAGATGGAGAAAGGGGGAGTTATGTTTGGAGGCAGAAACAGAGTCAGGAAGCATCAGCGAGGGTGATCATGGATGAGAAAGAAAAGGTGAAGAAAAGTGGGGTACATGGCATATCTGGAAGCTCCATTTGTCCCATTTTAAGAGTCGTGTTTGAAATGTCTTGTGCTTTACAAGGTAGATCCATGTGATCATCCGGACTTGTTTTTCTAAGACAGAAATGATTATGTAGTCTGTTTCTTGATGCTCCGTATGCAATATAATGTCCTTAGCCAGGTCTGTAGAAGAAAAATTAAAAAAATGTGATTTTGTTCTGCAATTTGGGTATTCTTATTTATTTTGAGGAACTCTGAGTAACATTCTAATGATTTCATGGTTTTAAAGAAAGAGTGAACAGAAAGAGCTATTTCCAGTGAGAACGTGTCAATTGATTTTGTTTATATCATGGATTCCTATCTGTACTTATTTAAGTAATCGATTGTTCCTTTCTATACTTCCTGTTGACTAGGTGGATGTATCCACACCTGCCTATATGAATGGCAAAGCTAGAGACTGCAGACAAAAGGGAGAATCTGAGAAATTCTCATTTCTCTTGCTTCCTTCAGTGCTGCTGGCATAACTCTGCTGAGGGCATGTCTGGATCCAAAGCAATTTGCAACTCATAATTGTTATATGTCTCCAAAGCAATTCATAATAACTCCATTGTGTATAAGGCAAAATATAACAAATCACTTAATATAATAATAAAAACATTCCAAAGGCTGAAACATTTATATAAAAGTGCAAAGTAGAACATAAAAACAAGATTTGCAGTCAGATACTGCATTTGGTTAAACAGAACAGTTTTGACATCTGAATTAAAGCACTGCGATTTTGTTGCCAATATTGTAATCACATTTTATTGCAGATTCCACACACAAAATGACTTCCAGTATAGGTGTTCTATAACATTGTGACATGCACAGTTGTCAACAAAATCCCCTGATTTTGGCCACTTGCCATTTAGTTTAGGGTTTTCCCAAAGAAACATTCATTTGGATCCAGGACAACCTGTAAAAAAGGCATTGTTATGTCTCCAATCCAGTGTGTAATAAATCTCTATGGGGGGGGGAACAGTTGTGGCCAAAGCTTCTCCCAACAGATGTACTGATTTTTGTAATATGTTGTGCAAAGCAGAAGTGATACATTTTGATTGTCAATGTGAAATCAAAATTTATTCCATGGGTAGACACTAGAATTTATTGGCTTCAGGGGGAAAAATCTAGAATATGGTAAATGTGACTGTGCTTTGCTTTGTTCTTCCTTTTATCCTGGTTTGTGTCTTTTGGCACTGAGTGCATGAGGCTGTCCTCTGCCCTATAGCACATTGGAATTCTCTCTGGTATCAGAAGAGATTCACACAGTGTATGTTTTCACACAGTGTATGTTTTTTTTTGTGTTCTTTGTGTGTGTGTGTGTGTGTGTGTGTGTGTGTGTGTGTGTGTGTGTGTTTTGTTTTGTTTTGTTTTTTGCTTTGGTTTGCTTTTCCTGACGTTTGGAAGTGGAAGCTTTACACAATGCAGTCTCTTGAGTTCAGTGTGACGTAGCTTCAAGGAAAGGCAATATAATTTTAAAGTACTTTGAAGTGAGAATTTAAGTCACCACTACAATATCACAACACACTTCCTTGTCAGCAAGCATGACAAGTAATTTCTTCTCAATTGAGTTGTTGCATTGAAGCAAGATGTCTCTTTTAGGTGCAAAATTGCATGTGAGTTGCCCAGAATCAGACTGCTTGCAACTTTAGTTAAGAATGTTAAGCCCTAGGTGGGCTGCCGATATGTTTCTTAATCATTAGCCAAATAATGGTGCATCCCTTCTATCTGGAAGGTTGTCCTCTTCTACCGAGTGTGTAGTTTTGGGAGGAGACACACATGGAGTGGGGAAGGAGGAAGGGGCAACTGTTTAGCCAGCCAGATTAGCTGAATCAACCCTAGCAGCCAGTGGGATGACAGACATCACAGCCAGATCGCCCTTGCATCCTAAACATTAGCCAATTCTATGACATTCTCTCTGTGTAAATATATACATTTTGTTTCCCAAAGAGACAGGAAACTAGAGAATTGGACACAAATTCCAGAGACCGGGGGGGGGGGGCGGATTTGGAAATTCCTTGTTGATGTTTCTTATCATGTCCACACCAGACTAAATCAGTGACAACAAGGAGTTTAGCAAGCAGTCTTTCCATTGCTGTTTTTAGGTCCTTTTTTTAACTGCTATTTTTAATTGATGGTTCTGATGTCTTGACTGAAATGTGTATCATTTTGCAGAATGATATCACAATATTGCAAAATATTCTGAAAACTAACATAGAGTGCTGGTGTAAAAATTTCTAAAACTAAAGATAAAACATTTAAAAAGTGGGTGATAAACCAGGTGTTGGAAAAATAGGTTTTTGGAATATAAATATCTGTTAATTGTATTACAAAAGAGCGATGCTTTTAAGAATAAGCCAGAATCTTCAAAATATGAAATATGCTGTCCTCTGACTGACAACAGGGTAGAGCTGTCCACATTTTAGAAATTACTGCTCCTTCTCTATCTTCCACACCATTTTTAAAGCTCACATTGATGGGAATAGTCATCTTAGGACTTAGCAAGCAGACCTTACGGACAGTGTTTCTCTGTTCCCTGGCTCCAAAAGGTGCTTCCATTATGTGTCTGTATTGTGTAGCAGCTTTTTTGCAGCTTTATTGCAATGCCATTGCTAGTGGGACCATCTTTCCATTGTGAAGCCAAGGGATGAAATACCTCTTCTGTCTATGCTGCAAGCTTATTACTCAGTGCCATATTAAGACTTTTCATTAGGCAAAAGAGCATGCAGCCCAGAATCATAGTGCCGGTATATGCTTGCATAAAGGAGTTTGTCTACATTTGGCAGCAAATTGTCACTCATTAAAGAAGTGCTGATTCCGTTCCTGGGTGTGTGGCTCATTATATGATCTGGTATGCAACCAGAAACACCACCAACATCTTGTTAACAAGTAGCAGTTTGTCACCAAGATGAATACAATTTCCTTTATACAAGCATAAATCAGCAATAGGCATCTGGCTGCCATGTGATGTCTTTCAAAGCATGGATTGTAGATTAGCTTTGATCTTTATTCCGGCTAGCAGGTTTTTAAAGGTATACAAAGAAAAATGGTTGAAGTATTATAGAAGCATACGTAGTGGTTGCTTAATTACACAGGATTACCCACACCTATTGTTTTAATACCCGCTACCCACATTACATTAATTATAGCCTTTTAAAAACAAGAGCTAGAATTTGGAAGAGTGGCACTTGTAAATTCAGTAATATATTCTGTATCCTTTCAGTTTCATATGCTTATGTATGCAGATTGCCTATAGACATTTAACATAACGTTTATAACGTAGTTGTTATAAATAAATGTTTTTAATGGCGTATTATTTCTACAGATAAGAAGCTGTGGTGGGCAGACCAAAACTTAGGCCAACTGGGTACCTGCAATAAAAAAGATGGAAGGAATCCCACAGTCCTGCGAAACAAAACATCAGGAGTTGTACATATGAAAGTGTATGACAAAGCGGCACAGCAAGGTAAATGGCACAGTATATGATGGTGAATAATTAGCTGTATCCAAAGATTCATGACCAGATCCATGAAGGGCAGTCCCAGCTTCTGTAAATAGGATGTGATTTTAGCAGTCCCTCTTCCTCCCCTGCAGAAATTTGAATTGGGAAAATAGTGTTGACTTACAGTATTGCACCTCTTATTGTAACCCTATGTACAGGTGCAATATATACCTCAAACCTTCATACACAGCTATGCATAAATTTTGGTTTGTGTGTTACCACCAATCTTGGAAGAGACAAATCCAGTCTGTTGAAGGTCCATGATTATATTGATATTTCAACCAAATAAATCTGAAAACTGTACTGCTCCTCAGTATTTTGGTATTGCTGTTACGTTCATTTGCCTCTCCGCAAACTGAAATCTAGATTAATAGTATGCAAAAATTGGCATCATCTGAAGGCAGTGTATGACTTTGGTTGGCTGACTTTATGAATGGACCCTGGGGAAAGTGTTCAAAACCTCAACCGCATTCCCTGTTATTCCATGTCATTGGCTGCAATCTTTACAACAAACTAAAAATAGTAACTAAATTATGTATAATGTATTGTTATTATGCATCGCCAGTCACGACTGATATGCAAATATGCATGTGTAACTGAACAGAAGGTACAATTTGTTTGTTCATTTGCTTGCTTGCTAAATCTCTATAATCACCCCATCACAGAAGTTCATAGACTTCAAGATACAACAGAAAAATACAGCATTCAACAGTTTTTATATATAAAAACTGCCAACAAGAGGGTGTTACCGAGCACCCTGTTGAAAGCCACAAATTACTAGAAAACTCTGACTAAATAGAAGAGCTTTCACATGATACCATAAAGTTCGTAAGTGGTGTCAAGAGAGTTTTCTGGGGAAATGGCAATTAAATAAGCATGCCATCCCTGAAAAGGCCTTCTTTTTGGTGGACAAAGTGCTCTACCCCATTCGATTAAAGACTTCCAGACCACAGTTTCTGAACATAATATTCATTTTGATGAAAATGCAAAGTTGTGAGAGCTGATTTCCCAATAATCTTGCCTGGAGCATTTTAGAGTTTCAAGGGTTTAAAGCAACAGCTTGTCTTAATTCTGGAAGCCGAACTTGTGTTGCTAAAGCTAATCAAAACACAGCTGTAATGTGATCAAAAGATTCCATTTCCGTTCATACTTTTTCAGCCCTGTTGTGGATCAGTGTCATGACGTCAGCAGAGGAATCCTCCAGTGATGAGACAAATTAACTTGGTACTCCAGAGCCTGATAGGTTGGGGAATCTGTCTGGCCCTACAGATGGTGGGGATTCAGGCGCTGAGTCAGAGAAGGTGGGACTCCCACCTTGCCTTCAGGGCCTAAGAAGGCTGAAGGCACAAATGTGAAGCCCCAAGAAAGAGTATATGGCTGCATGTGATGTTTCCTTGTGAGTAGATGATCGCCTCCTGAGTAAGTGCTGTCAACTGAGAAGAAGAATCTACTCATGGGATTACCTGCTCCCAAGGAGACCTCCCCTACGGCCAAGTATTTTGCCTTGGGCCATCAAGCTGGCCTCATGCCTTCAGCCTTTTTCACTCCTGAGAGCTGCCCGGGGCTTCCACTTCTGTCTGAGACTCAGCCCTTGAGATCCCACCATCTGCAGGTTCAAACTCCTGGTTCCCCAAAGGTCTGGAATCTGCAGGATCAGGCCGCTTTCTCCACCCTATCAATCTCTGGAACGTCTTCACTCAGCTCATCCTCCCCGGAGGACTGCTGAAGTCATGACAACCAGCTGCAGATTCCTAACCATTGTTAGAAGGCAGCTAGATCTAGAAGACTTGCAATAGGAGATTGAAAGATCATTTGTCACTGTTGCCAAACAGGTCTAGGTGAAATCCCTGCTGGCATAGCAAAAGCTTGCAAAAATACACTTAGACTACATTTCATCCTCTGGATTGACCAATTTCGAAGTTACCTTGAGTAGCTTGATTGCAGTAGTGGCTAAGCAGTAGGGGAATATTTGCAAGAACCGGAATCCTTTAAGCAGCCATTAGGTTTGGAGTCGGCACAGGTAAGTGTCTGGGCTGATCCTTAACTAACACGCTTTCTGGATCAAACCTGAGGGTCATGATATGAGAGGCATGCCCCAGGAATTGCAAGATAATTGATTTCCTTCATCCCAGCATAGTTCCTTTCTTTCTGTGAGCTGATGTCTGAGAAATTAAATGTTGATGTTACAAAATTTTACTGCTTCCTTCTCCTCCCCATCTCTATTTTTCATGGTAGGCAGCAATTCCTGTCAACTCAATAATGGAGGATGTTCCCAACTTTGCTTACCAACCTCAGAAACAACCCGGACATGCTTGTGTACAGTAGGGTACAACCTTCGGAAAAACCGTATGTCATGTCAAGGTAAAGGAAATTTTTAAAAATCCACACAGGTGACTTCTTTACTGCTCAATAGTTGGAAAAGAAATAAATGTTGTTGAGTAAGTTGTATTTTCTACTTGTTTCCACTACATGCAATTTAGGTTTTCCTGGAGCATGTACTCAATTAATTAATATGTCCCAAAGACTTCCCCAGGGCAAAAGTTGGGCCATCAAGCTGGCCTCATGCCTTCAGCCTTTTTCACTCCTGAGAGCTGCCCGGGGCTTCCACTTCTGTCTGAGACTCAGCCCTTGAGCTCCCACCATCTGCAGGTTCAAACTCCTGGTTCCCCAAAGGTCTGGAATCTGCAGGATCAGGCCGCTTTCTCCACCCTATCAATCTTTGGAACGTCTTCACTCAGCTCATCCTCCCCGGAGGACTGCTGAAGTCATGACAACCAGCTGCAGATTCCTAACCATTGTTAGAAGGCAGCTAGATCTAGAAGACTTGCAATAGGAGATTGAAAGATCATTTGTCACTGTTGCCAAACAGGTCTAGGTGAAATCCCTGCTGGCATAGCAAAAGCTTGTAAAAATACACTTAGACCACATTTCATCCTCTGGATTGACCAATTTCGAAGTTACCTTGAGTAGCTTGATTGCAGTAGTGGCTAAGCAGTAGGGGAATATTTGCAAGAACCGGAATCCTTTAAGCAGCCATTAGGTTTGGAGTCGGCACAGGTAAGTGTCTGGGCTGATCCTTAACTAACACGCTTTCTGGATCAAACCTGAGGGTCATGATATGAGAGGCGTGCCCCAGGAATTGCAAGATAATTGATTTCCTTCATCCCAGCATAGTTCCTTTCTTTCTGTGAGCTGATGTCTGAGAAATTAAATGTTGATGTTACAAAATTTTACTGCTTCCTTCTCCTCCCCATCTCTATTTTTCATGGTAGGCAGCAATTCCTGTCAACTCAATAATGGAGGATGTTCCCAACTTTGCTTACCAACCTCAGAAACAACCCGGACATGCTTGTGTACAGTAGGGTACAACCTTCGGAAAAACCGTATGTCATGTCAAGGTAAAGGAAATTTTTAAAAATCCACACAGGTGACTTCTTTACTGCTCAATAGTTGGAAAAGAAATAAATGTTGTTGAGTAAGTTGTATTTTCTACTTGTTTCCACTACATGCAATTTAGGTTTTCCTGGAGCATGTACTCAATTAATTAATATGTCCCAAAGACTTCCCCAGGGCAAAAGGGAGCCCTAGGGAGCCTCAGAACCTAAAAGGCAAGGGATAGAAAGCTTTTAATTATGGTACCTTAAATTAAATGCTTCTGACACCTGGTCTGTTATGTTACACAAAGTCATGCCAGAAGGATTTTGTCCAATAATTGTAGAATTGGCTAACATAAATAATTGAGGATGTTGTAATAACAATTATCTGTCTAGCCTCCCTATTAAAATTTCCCATTGGTGTTTTATTTTGTTGGCAAATTTAATGAGATGTTCATTAGTGTAAGCATTCTGACAGTAGACTATTTTCACAATGTACTGAAATACTTTTCAAAACAGTGATCTTTAAAATCAAATCATTTTGCTTTAAAATAAAATCATGTTGTTGTTAATCTGCTGGCCATAAAATGAACAGTAAATGTGCAGTCGGAAATCTGACCAAGAAGTAAGAATAAATTGCCTGTTGCCTTCCAGTGTTGCCCATTTAATGCAAAATCTTTGGATGATTGACTAACAGAGCCAGTTGATAATTCAAAGGGTTTGTAATGTCCAGAATTCAAATATAATCTCCAGAATCAAGTTCAGTGAGACCTGCTTAATTAAATTTTATACAGCAGCTTGGACATCATTGAGTTTTTACATATGCAAGAGTGAAATTGCAGGAGCTACAGCTGCTAATTGATGAGGTGCGTGTCTCATGTTGGTTGCATACCTAGTTACATGCTTACTATATGTCTGGCAACTTAGCCACAGCAGCTTTCACAGTTCCTCTTGCAAACAAATAGCAACTGGGTATGATTCTGCAGTTTAAGGTTATGATTCTTCTGCATCTTCAATTTCCTGCAACCTCACCTTCTTGTAGCCTCAACCCAGCTTCCAACAAGATTTATAGCATTAGGCCTGTTGTCTTCTCTTTTTATCTCAAACAAATTGTTTGTTTGTTTGTTTATTTATTTATTGTAATCTCCTCTAATCATAGCTGTTTTAGTAATGCCATACCCCTGTTTCTATGTGTGTTTTCTTTAGGTGTTTGTTTATTTATTTATTTATTTATTTATTTATTTATTTATTTATTGTAATCTATAATCATAGCTGTTTTAGTAATGCCATACCCCTGTTTCTATGTGTGTTTTCTTTAGGCATTGAGTCATTCCTGATGTATTCTGTTCATGAAGGAATTAGAGGAATTCCTCTTGATCCAAATGATAAAACAGATGCATTGATGCCTATATCAGGAACATCATTTGCTGTGGGTATAGACTTTCATGCAGGTGAATAAATAAAAATATTTTACACATACTTTGCCAGGATCTACTGATTCTAAACCTAGCAGTTCGAAAGCATGTAAATGCGAGTAGATAAATAGGTGCCACCTCGGTGGGAAGGTAAACAGTGTTCCATGTGACAGTGGAAACTGTCTTCGGACAAACGCTGGCTCTACGGCTTGGAAACGGGGATGAGCACCGCCCCCTAGAGTCAAACGCAACTGACTAAAATGTCAAGGGGAACCTTTACCTTTACTGATTCTATAATGCTCCTGCTCATTTTGAAAAATGAATATAAGCAAACAATGCATAATGACAAGTTTTTGAAGTGCCTTGCAGCTTCAGTAAATGTAGAAGAAATTATAAATATATATATATAAGTTATATTTTCAAGTGAGCTGTAAAGCTGCCCAGATTTGAGCACTTGGTGGAATCTAGATCTTAGCACATAAGAAGCTTTAGAAGCAGTGGAGTCATTTGGCTGGAGAATATATAGACTCTATAACAAAGAAGGAAAAGAGGCACATAGTGCAATTGGTTCAAGACAGATGATACATGGTCTTTATTTAATGTCCACACCGGACAGCAGTCTGACTGCTGCATTTTGTGGTAAGGGTAGTTTTCAATTTTCAAGGGCAGCCACAATAGTCAAATTCAGAGGTAAATTCAGAGGAACGCAACTGGACCAGCAGCCAAACCTGGAAAAATGACCTCTTGCTCTCATCAAAGATCTCAGCAGTTCTGGACCCAAGCTGTGAATCTTGTCCTTCAGTAGGAATGGAACCATTATACACAGGTTATAATCTCAGTACCAGTTCGGCATTTCTGGTTGGTTGTCAGGAGTTCTGTATATATAAATGTGCATATATATCCTTCCATATATATGCACCACCATCTTGGACTGTTTAGCCAAACAGGACTGCAGCCACCACAAAAAAGTGTCCCTAAGTCCCACATCAGGCCCAAGAGATTAAAGGTGAGAGATGCCACTCAGAGATCCAATAGAACCTCCCTCCCCACATCCATTTTCTGCCATCTGTCATCCAACAAGGCAGTGCTGCATCTGTCCTTAAATATGGCCAAACTCCAAACTGGATGGAATCTAGGGATTCATCTCCATGTCAGAAAACCAAGAGTCATCTTGCTAGCCATTACTTTCAGACCTTTATTATAGAAACAGAGGTCAGATCCTGACCAGTATTAGCACCTAGGGTTGTGGGATCCAATTGTAGTTTCATTAATAAAGCCCTTATAACTGCTTATTTATATGTTTATCCTATATGTTGTCGTATCTGTACAGTAATTTATTGTACAAATATGCGCACAATTTTTTTAAACAGACTAAGAAACATTCAAAGACTGGTGTGAGAAACAAATGAAATAAATGTGTTGCTGTGAAAAGGGGATTATTATTTGAAGCAAAATGGACAGAAGTCCTGTTTGGTAGGACTGTAAAGCATGTAGAGCCTACTTGCATTGAAGGGTGTGTGACAACCATACCTCCACATCTCTCTAAGTATAGAAATCAACTGTCTGAAGGATGGGGGCTGGTATACCTGGGTTGTGCTTCCTTGTTTGATGTGACAACAGACGAGTTAGGGGCACAACACTCTCCCCTCAATGCCTGAGCGTTCCACATGCTTTGAAGCATTACTGCACAGTGGTAGAGTCATCTATCCTTGCTGAATAAAGCATGCCAACAATATATAGTTTGAAGCAGGTCTATGGAATTGAATTATGGCTTTAAAAATTTTTTTTCAATTACTTTTTTTTGTTTTATAGGAAATGATACAATTTACTGGACAGACATGGGATCCAACAAAATCAGCAGAGCTAAAAGGGATCAGACATGGAAGGAAGATATTATTACAAATGGTTTGGGAAGAGTGGAAAGCATTGCAGTGGATTGGATAGCGGGTATTCACACGTTTTTAAATGTTTGGTCTCGTTTTCATACAGTCTTTTGACACGTCCTTTCCAGTTGTTAACAAATCAGTTGTGACTGCTAAAAAAGGACTTAATAAAATGGACTTTGTTAAGTAAGGGGGGGGAAGTGCAGGTTTCAAAAGTTTTATCTTTCCATACAGACACATTTTTAATATAAAATTGGCAACGTATGGTGGAAACTTCAAATGAACATAATGTAATGCCATTTGACCATTATAATAGCATTTGGTGTATAAATCTTAGCTGGAGTACGTAATTTACATCTGTACAACATAATGTTCTCTTGTTTCCAGGTAATATATATTGGACGGATCATGGCTTCAACTTTATTGAAGTTTCCAGGCTCAATGGTTCTTTTCGATATGTTATCATTTCTCAAGGCCTGGACCAGCCAAGATCTATAGCAGTGCATCCAGAAAAAGGGTAATTTGATAACTGAATTTATTGCATATTGTAAAACCCCTCGAAATGGCTCACAGAAACATTGTCTAACCTTTGATCTGACCAAGGACAATGAAAGCTGACCAGGAAATAAACAGTGGCTAAGAGTGGCTGAGAAGATCCCTCTTTCCTTTCACCTCAGCCTAGGATGAAGTGGGAGATCCAACAATATTTGTTACCATCTCAGCCCCTGTTCAGTACTGCAGAGGAAATCATTTTGGCATACTTTACAGTGCTGCAATAATGACTGCTGATATTATTTATGTGGGGTTTGAACACTTAAAAAAAATCTGTATAAATGCTAAGCATCATTTTTATGGTACATTCATATTCAGTAGAACAAAATGGAGATCATTAATTCAATTAATACTTCTCTAAAGTATTCAGCTCACTCATCTTCAGCATATTAGAGTAAGGGGGCTGTGTGATGTTTGGGGTTGGAATATACTTTCTTAGTTTTCAAAGAATGGATATGAGAAAAGCAGTCCTTTTAGTGTAGAAACCCTATTTTGTTGTTTTAACGGTCAGTTATAGATAATATCAACAAGCTTTCAAAACGTTCCAAAATGACCTAGAGATATGAGTGAATAGTCTATTTTGGCCTCTTTTGCTGATGGAAAGAAATTATTTGCGTAGTAAGAAGAATAACAGATTATGAAAAGCTCTGAATTATACATGGTATAGAGAAAGAAGAGAACGTTTCTCTCTCTTATAGTGCCAAAATTGGGAGTTATTCACTAAACCTGAATGGTGGGAGATTCAGAGCAGATAACAAAAGCATTCCTTCATATAGTGTATAGCAAAATTATGCCATTTACTGCCAAAAGGTGTTGTAATAGGTGCCAGCTTGGAGAGTTCTGCAAGAGTTAGAAAAATTTGTGTACTTTAGGGCCATCAATGGCTATTAGTCAGGATGGCTATATATCACTTTCAGTATCAGATTTGATATACCTCCACATATCATTTGGTGGGAATGCATGATTAAGAGCACTGTTGCATTCATATCTTTCTGCCACACTTTTCAGAGGCAACTCAGTAGTCATTGTATGAGCAGAATATTGGACTTGATGTGCCTGCAGTCCAATTCTGGCACTCTTAAGGAGCCACAGAGCTACAATAACCTGGATCAGATGGACAGTGTTCTTCACTGAGAATGGTCCAGTGGCATGACAACATTGGATAATGAGAGTAGCCCTTTTTCCTCTTAAAAGAATGCCCCAGTAATTATGCCATTCTCACTGGGCCATTTTCTATGAGTGATACATAGAAATATTTAAATTCCTTTTCCATTTTAGGCCAGTTTCTCTTGGAAAAGCTCCACCAGCACAGGGGTAGTAGCATCATTGTCCATGTAGAATTTTAGGCAACATGCCATTGCATCTACTTGTGTGTGAGCTGTGCACACCCTGAAATTGAAAAAGGAACTCTTCAGTTGTTAGTAGTCTGCTGTCACTCATGACATCATTCCTACAGTGCTGGTGGAGCTCTGCAAGAGGATACTGCCCATCAGATTAGAGATCTTAAAACTTCAGAATGTTTGTTTATTAAATGAGAAGTAAAAGTCAACTATGGGGAGATTTTCAGGTTGTCTACTTCAATCTCATGTCATATGTTTTTCCTGAATGGCTGCTGTTCCGATGGTTGGGTCTGCATTTATTTGGCAGCTCTGGGGCTGAAGTTCAGAAACATGACACAAACTGCAAGAACTTCCTTAGGCATTCCTAATCAATGATGATGCTCAGTAAAACCATTGTCTTGTTTTGCCTGTGAATAACAGATGGCCATATAGTACCAAATCCTCCTTTGGAAGTCCATATCCCCCAAGGTAATATGAAAGGAAGTGTTCAAAAACACAAGTCAAAAAGTCGAGCATTCAGAAGTAACTGTGCCATAGAATACCTGAGAAATCTCTAGGGTCTTAACTGAATATGTACATACACATACATGCAAACACTTTTCAACCTACACTAAATGGAGCAATTTAGGGATCAGACTGTCTTCCCAGGTTAATGAACTCCTTTCAGTCCTAAACTGTAACTTTTACAATATCTACAGTACAACTATATGTACATAGGAATCATAAAATATTAATAAAATAATATTAAAATAATATTTTATCATTTAAAATAATAATAAATAAAATAATAAAATATTTGTGTTTATGTGATATGAAAGGAAAGTTTACAGGAGCTATGAATATATTTATAGAAGCTGGTGGGCTAGTTTTGAGTTATGGGCAAGTGATTCTCCATGCCTTAGTAATATATAGTTTTGCCTTTATAGATAAAATATGCTTGTTAAGTTATATTTCACAGAACATGTATAAATAAAGTAGTATTAAGGGAAAATTTAGCTATTTTTCAAAAATCTGTCAAGAAGTTGAGTGGACTGCAAAATAATTTTTTTTAAAAAATCTTAAATGTTGAAAATATTTTGTACTCCACGTCTTTAAAACCACTATCCAGGCATGTGCCTTTAGGATATTTTGGAGTTCATCTTCCAGAATTCTCACATCCCACCTGACTGACCCTCATCCACTCAATTTGGCTCACCTGGAGAAAAAAGGAAGCTATCCCAGAGACTCCTAGGAGGCTAGGCCATGAAATTGTCAAGCTAGGCCTTTCTTTAGGTGAGACACATTTAGGTGTGTTAGGTGTGGGTTGAACTCCAAAACTTCTGAGAATTGAACGCTAAAAATTTTGAATGGCACACTCTTAATGCTGTCTCTAAGTTCACCATCCTTACATGTGGTGTCCCTGCATGAGTTTCTCTCCTTTCCCCATACTCCAAAATTCTCCTGTGCTTTGTTCAATACCATTCCAGTGATTCTTCTGCCCCATAGGAGCAGCAGTGAGGAAGGGGAATGCAATGGATGGCACAAACTTCCCCAGATGTCTTTAAGCACATAATAGGAAGGATCCAATGCAGTCACCAATTTCAATATTTTTTTTTAATTTTTATCCTATTTTCACTGTGTTTCAGCTATTTGTTCTGGACTGAATGGGGTCAAGTGCCCTGCATAGGCAGGACACGTTTAGATGGATCAGAGAAGATGGTTCTTGTAGGCACTGGGATTACGTGGCCTAATGGAATTTCTGTCGACTTTGAGGTTAGTTTTTGTGTCTTCTAACTTGAATCCATTAAATGTTCTGTTGCACAAGACATGTATGTCGTAATGTTTGTCAAGACCTGTTCTCAATATTTTCCTAATAAAACACAGAGTAAAATATTTAGGGCTTACTTTTCAATTGATCCTTAGGAAAATAAATTATACTGGTGTGATGCACGAATGGACAGGGTAGAAAGAATTGACCTTGAGAGTGGAAGAAATCGAGAGATTGTGCTGTCAGGAAGCAATGTGGATATGTTTTCAGTGGCAGTCTTTGGGGCTTACATCTACTGGTCTGACAGGTAATTTATTTTTCCATAAGTATTTGAGTCTCAAAATGTTATTTCTGTGCCAGATGCTTCACCCTTGTAGGATTAGCAATTCTTTAGCAAGGTCACTGAAAGGCTCTCACAAAGCCGTGTAATTTCCTAGGAAAAGGCACTTTTGATATTCAAAGCTAAACCACACCAATGTCACAAGCAGAAGTGTGCTTCTTCACCTTCTGCTAGTCCAGATGTCTTCTGCATTTTAATGACTTACTTGATTTTAATTAACTGAGAATTGTGGTGAACTAAACTCTACTGTTTTTGGCAGAGCTCATGCAAATGGGTCTATCAGACGAGGTCACAAAAATGATGCCACAGAGGCTGTAACTATGAGGACAGGCCTAGGAATAAACTTGAAAGAGGTGAAGATCTTCAGCAGAGTACGCGAGAAAGGTAAACTTGTGTTCAAGACGTCATGCTTCTATTTATTTGCATGGAAAGCAAAGTAGCCATTGTAATGTGTGGGAAAAGCTTATAATTAACTATCCAACTTCTTTGAAAATAGACAGATAAAAAACAAATTATATAACTGCATATATAAAATAAGATTGACTTCATTAATGTTAGCTCTCTTCAAGTTCTTTAAAGTGGGTAGAGCCTATATGCCTCACTGCCTCTCTCATCTCTTTAATCATGAAAACACTGTTGTCTGAATAGAGGGAGGCTGCTTTACCCAGACAGCTTCTCTGTGTGATCCAAAATTCAGCAAAATTGAGGTCTGGTCCTTTCCTTTCCTTTCCATTCCATTGTTGAACCACCACACTTTAAATACTTGAATAAGAATTTTATTGTTAAGGGAAATAATCTCCTGAGACAATTCTAAACACAGTTATTTGTTTAAAGCTTAGTATAAAGTTATGTTATTTAGTGGAAACCTAATCAGAGTTACACAGGGCAGTATCAGAGAAATATATTTTATCTGGAAAACAAGAAGCACTGACTTTCACCACATTATACCGTATTTCAAGCAACATTTAGAACTAAAGTGGAAAATTGACAGCCCAAGTAGTTGAGACTCATGGACTTTGGACCTACCTTATACCTTTCATAAAAACAATAACGTAAAGTTTCCTGGATGCATGATAGAAAGGTCTGAATAGCCATAACTTAAGGAACTTTAGAGCTTATTGAAATAGAGCAACTTTTCTAATATGATTTGTAGATATTTCTAATGATAGGACCATTGCAAACATAACACGTAATGAAGACTAAAGTTAATGAATAGAGGAGATCCATAATGTGCTCCCCCCCCCGCCCTGTCCAAATGGTGGGAAGCATTTATATCACTACTGTTTTTCAATATCATTAATACAGGCTTCATAGAATGAGATATCAGAAAGCAAGAAACAGCCCAATAACAAAATTAGAGTCCAAGTTGAAAATGGCGTCAGTTTCATTTGTCTTTCTGTTTGTTTAAAATACTGTATTTTTATCCTACCTTTCTCCTTAAAAAGAACTCAAGGCAGCTCTTTTTTTTTACATTTCCCTTCTTCAGAGGGGGCCACAATCCTCCAAATTATGTAGGAGACTCCCTGTTTTCTATTTTCAAAAACTGTTTGAAACCATGTTCCTCTTATCAGCTTTTAGCAAGATTTCCCTAGTAGCTGCTATTCCTTATTAATATCTTGTACTCTGAATTATTGTGGCATATCTTAAGGCAACATTAATTGTTTCCAGAAGAAAAATACAGTTGCCAATGCAGGATGTCAGTCTTTTCCATATTACTACAGTGCAGTTCTACAGCTGAGCCAAGGTGTGAGTTGCGTGCCATGCCTAAGCCACTTTGCCACCCCTTAAGAGCCCTCAGTAATAATTAAAGAAAGCTGTAAAAATTAGAGGTGCAGCCCATTGCCAAAAATCAGTGTTATGTCCTTCTAGGTGCTTCGCAGAGATTGTCGTGTTTATTTGGATTCTAGCTCTACAGTGTGGTTGATACCTAGCACTAGTCCCTAGCCATCAAAACACACAGTAGGAAATGCCAAAGAATCTCCAACTGAGAAAGAATGGACGCTTTGAAAATTTCAACAGCTAATCAAAACAATTAAGTTCTAAAGCTTCATTTTAGAGGAAAAGAAAGGTAGCAAACAATATTCATGGATTTAATAATTTAAAGTAGGGTAATATAAACATGACAGAGGTGCTGCAGATCCTAAAAGGTTCCTGGGAAGCTGTGCCAACTATAGTTGATGTTTTGAGGTTGGGGTGGGGAGTGCTTGGTTTGCTAGCAAATTGAGAACAGGTTCTTGGCCTGTCCAAAATTGCCACCCTGATTTAGGGCATCAGAAGTGGCAGAAGCAGCCCACAGGAGGCCCCATGCTGTGTGGTGCTATTTCAGAGTTAGTTTTTGTGATGATTGTGGACCAGCGTGAATAATACATGTTTATGTGCCATCAAGTTGGTACATAAACAACTTATAGCAATCCTAAAAGGGCTTTCATGGTAGGTAGGAGTGGTTTTACCAGTTCAAGCCCAACATCCAAGTTTCCATTGCTGAATTGGAATTTGAACCCAGGTCTCTTGAATCTTAGTCTGCCATTTTATCCGCTACACCACACTGGGTATGAAATGATGTCAACTCCATACCAAACAAAGCTAATATTGGTGGCAGATTTGGTTGAAAAGTTTGATGCAGGAAAGTTTTCTCTAGATGGAGTCTTCTTCTCAATAAGGGAATTAGTTGTACTTTGGAGATACTGAAAAACATGACTGCATGGGGACTGGAATTAAGGACAGAAAGAACAAACCTCTGATATTGTTCTATTTCTCACACCAGTGAGACAGTGGAACTGTGGTAAAATCTATTCCTAATCCATATGGAATACTCCTGTGATCAGTAGTTTGCAGAGACTTTGTATTGGGGAGATGACTGCAGGTGGACACAAATGCAGCTTATGAAATACAGTTTCATAAGCTGTATTTGTGAATGGCCCCTCTTTGGAAGAACCACAGCTGTAGCGACCTTACATTTTGTTAGAACTGCATATACATAGTGTGCTGGATTGATAACACTGCAAACAGTCTCTTTTTTTGTTATGTGTTATACTTTTTTGCCTTGCTGTTTGCTGGGGACTGGTGTCTACAGGGTTAGGTCCATAATGCTCTTGCAGCTTGAACATCAAGTGTTTTGGACTCACACTTGAGGATTAATAAACATTGTTGTTTATGTCTACTACAACCCAATGTGAACTTTGGAGGGAGAAGAATGCTGATGGTAGAGAAAAAGTCTATTCATTTGAAATGTGTTGTTGGAGGAGCTATATACAGAAGCATTTTTATGGAACCATTACAAAAATAACAAATAAATGGGTTCTGGATCAGATTAAGCCTGAACTTTCATTGTAGCTAAAATGAGGCAATTGAAATTCAGTTATATTACGAGAAGACAAGACTCACTGAAAAAGACAGTAATTTTTAATCTTCAAGTTGAAGATGGCAGGAAAATAAGGAGGACATAACATGAGATGAATTGACTCAATCAAGAAGCTACATCCCTTAGTCTGTAAGAGCAGAATAGGGGTGTTAATAACAAGACATTTTGGAAATCATTGGTTAATAGGGTTGCCATAAATTGGAACTGCTTGATGGCATATAACATACAAGTGTAAATCTGTTTATTTCTTTCATCTGCAAAAGGTAATATGTTGAGCCTTCTGTCTTTTCCTGAATAATTCGGGACCTCAGTTTTCTTTGTAACAGGTTTTCTGGAAGATATATGAATAAAACAACTTCAATGGGATATTTGTGCAAACTGTCTATGGAGGTTCACGTCTTCTGAATAAATTAGAAGCCCCCTCTTGCCTATTCCCTGAACTGCTTAAAACACAGCTGTCTTTTTGTGTATAATAATCATGCCCGGCATTCCCTGAAGAAAGTCTGTATATAAACCATGAAACGCAATTACATAGTACAGTATTCAAGACAGTAAAACCATCCTGCCCCTTTCTGAGGTCATAATTGTTTGTACAAGAATCATAGCTGTGGTGCTTTGACTTAGGGCTTCCATATTTTTTTCTATCTTGTTTATTCCTGAAAGAGAGGGGAGCAGAAATTATTTTTAAAACACTGAACAGCTTTTCAAACAAGTACAGTGGTGCCTCGCTTAGCGACATTAATTCATTCTGCAAAAATCGCTGCAGAACTAAAACATCGCTATGCAATATTAAAAAACCCATAGAAATGCATTGAAGCCCCTTCAATGCGTTCCTATGAGCTTAAAACTCACCGTTGAGCGAAGATCCTCCATAGCGCCGCCATTTTCGGTGCCTCTAAAGCAAGGAATCCATCTCTAAGCACAGCGGGCGGCCATGTTTTTCCCCGGTGGCCATTTTGAAACCGCCGATCAGCTGTGCAAAAATGGGGGCTTTGCGATGATCACTTCCCTGCGATCATCGCAAAGCGAAAATACCCCATAGAGAACATCGCAAAGTGATGGCAAAAACAGCGTCGCTAAGCGATTTTGTCGCTAAACAGAGCAATCGCTAAACGAGGCACCTCTGTATGTTCTGGACTCTAGAAGGATCTGAGTAATCATATAAAAAGAAATATTTGTATGTAATAAACTTAGTTTTAAAAAAAAGGGGGGGAAAGGGAAATATGAGTGAGTGCCCCATAGCTGTACCCTGTAGCTTTAAGTAGTGTTCTACACTGAATGTAAAATTACTACAAGTGAAGACGTGTGGGACCAAAGTAATAATAACCGTTGACTCAATCAAGATGATTCGAATTCTTGGGGTTAAGGACTTCATTTAAAACTGAATCCCATCACTATATGGTATGTTGATATAAAGTGACATGACATCCAATGTAGGAAGCATGGTATTGTTTATATTGTTCCTTCAAAGAATCAATTCTGAGTAAGCAAGATCTATTAAGCTTGTAATGGTGATACTTCACAATGACTCAGACCGTGAAGCTGGAGACTCAAGGCGAGAGGAGAAGAAGCAACCATGTGGGTGGTGCAGAAGTGTAGAGAGTGGCAGATTGCTTATTGGGTGTGGTAGGATGTAGGGGGTGAGAACAGGAATGAATAGCAATGCTACAGCTCAAAAAACCCCACAGAAATGTGTGTTCAGAATGTAGGACAGGAGGGGAAATGAACAGGTTGGTTGACAAAGTTTGTAATTACGAGTGATCACTGATTAGCTAACAATGTTTATTTAGTGAAATTCCTTTGGGCTTCTTTCAGGTTGGGAGTGTAGCATTTGGGGTGAAGGGTTTTCACACAGTAAGCTAATTGACATTTGCGAGAGAAAGGCCACAGCTAAAAATTTTTAGGGAGCTCTGAGATTGTGAAGCTTGATGATGTTTAAGGTTCGAAACATCCCCACCTATGCTTTTCTTAGATGCATTTACTGCACAACATCTACAATCTCTGGTTACTTTATTCTTAAGTTCTCCCATATCCCCTTGCAAAGACCTGCAATTTTCCACCACATTACTAGATAGCTATACTTTTCCATATTTCTCAAGTTCTGTGTTTAAACAGTAGAATTTATTTATAAATTATTATTCATTTTCTAAAGTCAGTCTAAGCTCACTTATTTTCAAATAAATTTTGTTGAAACTAAAATGTCTTACTTCCAACTGCATGTGTTTCAATGTTTCTCAAATTGTCATGATTTATTCTACCTCTTATAATAGTTAAATATAAAATAGTAAAATACTACTGTCTCTGTAAGAAATCTGTTTGGAAGCAGAAATATTTTAAGTTGAAATCTCTAAGGATTATGCTGAAGTTTCTACAATCTGTCATATGCCATTCTTCATTAACAAGAGAGGTGAATAACTTGTTTAGTAAAATATAAAATAATTTCCTACTTTAGATGCATGGGTTAATCACATTTCCAATGAATGAATTCAAAGCAGTGTCAAAATGAATACACTATGCTAAGTTATAAAATTCTGAGTTATCATTGTTTCCCCCTCAGGAACCAATATATGTGCCAAGAACAATGGTGGATGTCAACAACTTTGTCTGTATCGGGGAAATGGACAGAAAACGTGTGCTTGTGCACATGGCTATCTAGCAGAGGATGGTGCCTCATGCCTGAGACATGATGGTTACTTGCTCTATTCAGGAAGAACAATATTAAAAACTATACATATTTCAGACGAGACAAACTTGAATTCACCAGTGCAACCTTATGAAAATCCAGAATATTTCAAAAACATAATAGCACTAGCTTTTGACTACAGCCAGAAAGGAAGAGGTACTAATCGGATCTTCTTCAGTGATGCACATTTTGGAAATATACAACTAATTAAAGATGATTGGTCAGGGAGAAGAATTATAGTTGAAAGTAAGTAACTTCTATTCCATAAAATTGTTTGTTTTGAAAACCCATAATGTTCTCTTTTTGTTTGTTTGTTCACTTTCAAAACTACTTTTGTCTCGTAAAGCAAAATTGCAATGAATGAAATACTTGTTTTATTTTGGAAGGCTGTAAGCTTCAGTGGGCACTTTTTAAAGCTGTTTTTGTACAGTTCTGTTTGCATAACAGGTAATCATGAATGGAGAAGGAAACTTGAGTTTTTATTGTTAAAATTAACTGCAGTATTTGATGGATTTGCATGCATGTCATATTTTCCAACATGATCTCTTCATTCAATATGCAAAGATCTAACTTACATCCATGGGGAAATGGGAGTCTGGACTGTCATGATGAGCACCTGCACTTATAAATTTACCTCTACAACATTGATCTGGTACTACTAAAAACTAATTATTGGTGAGCGCATTTGGGGCTTTGGGAGAATCAATTGTGAGAGATAACCTATACTGGCATTTAAACTGCAAAATTGATAGTATTCTTGAAAATGTATATCTTTCTAGCTCTTACCATTTTGGATATCTTTCAGGATAATCATATGTTAAAACCATTTATAATTATTCATAAATATTAAAAAGAACCAGAGGAAAAGGGCATTGTAGATAAATGTAGTTGGAAATGTTTTACAGGGGAGTCCATCAAACACCTGTGATCAGGTGCTACTAAGAGCTAATTATCAGTAGGCTTTGGGAAATTGATTTCAGGATATAAGCAGCCCATTTAATTAGGCTGGAAACTCAGTAGCATGCACACATTATCCCATTATTATAGCACCAACACTTTCAGATATCTTTTTATATGAACAAATGAAAGTTCATAAACAAAAATGTTTATGAGATAATGATAATGAAATGATGGCTAACATAAGTCATACTTTATTGCCAAATGACTTTAAAAAATCAAATTTATACATTTCAAGAGTTTACACCATGTTTTACGTAGCAGAAAAAATATGTCATGATCCACCTATTTAGATCTGAGACTAAAACCAAAATAACATTAGTAGCATAACTGTATTAGTGAAGTGCCCCTGTCCCCTCTCCCTGGTTTCATCACTGTTGGTGCAGTTGTTATTGTGAGCCCTAGGCGCATTTTTCGTTTGTGCAACTATTTGCATTGTACCCTATGCTGCTTATGCAGTTAGAAACTGTGCTGGATTTCCCTTTTGTGCATAGTCTGGAACTAGTCATCTGCAAGCACTGAGGTCTTGAATTAGTGGGATAATGATACCACTGGATAATGGACCTTGTGTCCAAATTAAGGGACAGGACTATGGAATATAATTTTGCTTGCTTGCAAAAATCACATTTTCAGCTTTGGTTCAATAATAGATTTTAAAGAGCATAAATATTAAGCACCGAACTTAAAGAAAGCCTTTTCATTGTCTAGCTCCTGTAGCTTAGAAGAGGCATAATTAAAGTTACTGGCAGAGAATTTCATCTGTTAATTAGGAAGTCCCTGGTTTGAGTCATGCCCTCCCAAAATTGCCTTTAGCATACCCATCCATCTGAGATACAGCTCTTCTGATATGTGATGAGATAAAGCAATACTGCTCGGACTTACAAACCAGTCATAAAGTTTGTGACAATAATATTTATAATATTTATTATGTTTAGTTTTCCTTTGAATTCCTCCAGCATTGGAACACTCACCACCTCCTGAGGTTATTGGTTCTATTATCGTGCTACTCTAACAGTTAAGATGTTTTTTTCCTGATATTCAGTCCAAATCTGGATTCCTGTAGCTTGAGCCCATTATTACGTGTTCTGCACTCCAGAGTGATCAAGAACAGATTCTGCCCCTCTTTTGTATGACTACCTTTGAAAAGAGCTATCAGATTTCCTCTCAGTCTTCTTTTCTCAAGGCTAAACATGTCCATTTTTTTCATTCCTTCCTTATAGAGCTTGGTTTCCAGTCCCCGTATCTTTGGTTTTTTTTTTTTTTTGAGCTGTGTTGCACTATTGACTCATATTCAGTTTTTAATCTACAACCATGTCAAGATCGTTCCCCCATGTAATATTACTGAGCCAAGTATCTCCCTGTGGAGCACCAGGCCCGGGACCGAGCCTTGTGGTACCTCACTTGTTACCTCCTCCCAGTTTGAGAACATGCCATTGATAAGCAGTCTCTGAGTATGATTTTGTAACATGAGAATAATACATTTTGCCTTCAGCAAAGCTGTTGACAGTGCCTCATGATATTTTGATTAGCAAGCTAATTATGTAATGGCTGGATTGAACAATAGATACACAGTTGGTTACAAAATCAAACTAGGAGGAGGTAACAAGCAGGGTATCATGAAGCTCAGTTCTGATCTTGATGTTCTTCAATACTGCCTATTTATACCTGGTGAATAAACAAAATTATAATCCCTAATTTGTACTAGAGGCTGCTATGGCTGTGTTGTTTTTCCCCACCCCATCCAGCAGCAAAAACAACAACAACAATATGTTTCGAACAGGCAACGTCAGTTTGTGTGTTTGTGGAATATCACAGAGTAATTGGCAGCCTTTCGGTTTGATTTTTTTTTTAGTGATCCAATGAAAGATATCACTCAGTCTTACATTTGTATAATCTTGGGAACCACATTTCTTTTAGAAATGGAATAGTTACTCAAAGGCGATGATTTTTTTTAATGTATGGAAACCAAGCATGTGACTTACAGTACAAGGACTTCTGTTAAACTTGTTTCCAGTTCACTAAAACAAATTTACAGCTCACAAGCATCATTATCTAGCATGTTTTCACCTCACTGGATACAGATTTATTACCTAAAAACACCCATTATCTACTAAGTTTCCAGTTCACTGGAAACAGATTTACTACTCATACACAAGCCATTATCAAACATAGTTCCAACTCACTGAATATTGATTTAGAATTCATAAACAGTCCATTATCTGACAAATTTTCAGCATACTGAACAGATTCGCAACTCATAAACAACCCATTATCTAACACATTTCCAGCTCACTGAAAGTAGATTTACAGTGTATAAACAACCTGTTATCTAACGTGTTTCCAGTTCACTGAAAGCAGATTTGGAAATCACAAGGATATCAATAGCTGAAAAATTCTTAGAAACATAAATAGCTATAAGAACAGTTTGACACCACACCCTCAATGATGCACCATTTCAAGTTCAACATGGTATAGGAGATGTTAAGTCAATATATTCTGTCAAAAAGTGTGTGTGTGTGTGTGTCCATGTCCATGTGTGCATGCAGAACACAAAAATATCAATTCTATCATTTAGGCAGTAACTGAATATTGCTACAGTTGGAAGCTCTGACCCTAGATTATGTTGGTGGTTTGTGCGGAGTCTGCGTAGAAGAACTAGAAACTCTGGAAAGTGTTTGAGTGGCAACCCCCCCCCCTTGCCCCATCAAAATAGCTGAAGAATTAGAGGTCAGGCTAGATAATGTCATGCCCCCAGCTCTCTGGGCCAAGAGCCACAAGCCAAAATATCTGCTGTTTCTTACTGCTGCTTGTGAAGTATTCCTAGGTATCACAACAGAAAACTGTATGTCTCCATGAGTATATATGGCCACTTCACTCAGCTTTCTCAAGTAGACCACCATCTTGATTTTCCTCAGACTTTCCCCCATGACTTTTCTATGCAATTTTGCTCTAGTCCATAACTTGATGTTGCTTTCATCTTTGTGCCTATTTTTAATAACTACTGTATTCAAAAGATAAGATAAAAAAGATTTTAAAAATAAGATCAGGTAGTCTAAGAATTTTTAGAATGCAATCAGCTTTGTTTTTCAGTCGCTCTGAAAATTACCAGCTGAGAACTAGCGCATCTGAGTCTTTAGAATCCTTGCTGTCTCCCTTAGCAAGCTAAAGTGTAAAGCCTTGAATCAGGAATCGGACCAAGGAGACTTGAAATCTCTAGATCCTGGGAGGTGTCAGAAATTTAAAAAGAGGAATTGTAACTAGGTCAGATTGGGGTGGGGGCACCAGTGTTGCACTAGTTTAGCCATACTGACTACAGCTGCTGCAGTGGACCTGATCAAGGAGGTAAGGGAAGCCTACGTGAATGGCTACATATGCTAGCGTCTGTAACACTACATTGAGACCTTTGATGTCTTTTAGCATGTAAATCCAGATTGGTGAAAAGATCCTAAGCCCATAACATTGAGGGCAGCACTATGATAAAAACTGCAAAGGAGATTTTAACTGCTAGGGCATAAGCCTCATAGACCTTCTCTTTTAGACATGGGTAAGATTGCTTCATTTTGGTTCATTTCCAGCACATGCAATCACTGGGATCATACCAGTGCGAGCATGCTGCTTAAAATCTCCCTTCCGCTTTCAATTTCCCAATATCAATAAGTGGCTTAAGAAAACTACTTCATGATGTTGGGAAATTAAAATTTTCCCTTGCTTCTCCATGGAGGGGTAAAGGAAGGAATCAAAAGTTTTAAAAAGTCTATTAGGGCAGCACTGATGCACTGCACCTTGTAGGGGAAAAATGAAAAAAATAAAAAAGCTTTCACCCAGAAGGGTGCAAGGAGGGGGATTTGGTGTTGGTGGTGATTTATATTTGTTTTCTTAAGGGAGGCTGGCCAAATAGGGTCACTTGAGGTACATATGCCTTGTGGATGCAAGGATCATACCAAATGGTGCACTGGACCTCTATGTAACTTCAAGTTACATTATTTAGCAGGCAGAGAGCAGGGCTTGCAGGAAAAAGGAAAAATTGTCTCCCCTGTTATATTGGTAGAGTTCAGGGAGAAAAGGGAATCAGCAAAAATCACCTTGTCAGTCACTGGGAGCCTCAACTTTATCGAAATTTCTTCTGTGGATGGAAAACACCCTTCAATTTTATAATGGTATCACAAGATCCAAGTTCATGAAATTTGCTCAGTGAGACTTGCTCAGCATAAGTATATTATGTACTTCCATTTTATAGAGGCAATGCAAGATCCAAGTAAATGAATTGTTTTGCATCTGAAATTTGAGATTACCTGGCTAAAATTAAGAGAAATGTTCTGGTCTTTAAATTTGTTATCTTTGATGTGTGGAGAAAGAACAGTGTGAATATTGTATGTCATTGTAGCATTAAATCTATGTTCCAATGTGTTTTTGATAGGGTCGATTAAGCTGTTCTATTAAGGGCCATGTTTTATAATTTTAAAAATAATGTGTGAATGCTAATTTACTTAAATAAAGTACAGTAGTATTTTTCTTGAAAAACTTACAAAAAGGAACTAATTGGACAATCAGTCTGCTAAGAGAAAAGCTGTTCAATTTCCTTTACTATACCCTATTATTATATGTTTTTCTAATTTTCTGCTATTGACGATTGTTGCTTGATCATTACCTTAGGAACTCAGTGAAAAGTGTAAAGATTTAATTAGTGCTCTCATTGTGCCTTCTGTAATATCTGTGAACTGTTGAATCATATTCTCGGAAGGCTTATTGCTTTTTAAAATGTTGCTTTAATCTCAGTCACCAAATGGTGACCACCTGTTGTCTGTTACAAATATTCTCAGTGAACAGATTGTCAGAAAGCAATGGTGTTTCCAGCGTCTGGGCCAGTAAAACAATTGGCACACTGTTTCTTAAAAAAAGAAAGGTAGACTGTGTGAATGCAATGAGTAAGCAAAGTAAACCAGAAAGAAAGTCAATATACAATATACTTAAAACATATTCAGACATGCCTTGCCCTGTGTACTTAGGTATGTTTTAAACCATTGAATTCAACAGGACTAGCTACATGTGTTTTGTTGGCAATTGATGTCGGTCAATTTTAGCATGGTCTTATATTAATAAAAATTGCATAAACACCGTTATACTAGCATAAGCATCACTGCACAAGTGAGTGCACTTATTTTCCATTTCACTTTTGGAATTGGATAAATGCTGTAGCTGAGATTTTTGTAAGCAGTAATGCATGTGTATGGCACTGCCGAAGTGACTGCCCTTTCTGAGATATCCTCTCCTTGTCACAAACTGCCAATAGGAGATTGACTGTGAGGGCTGCAGTGTGTAAATCATAGGCTTGGGGTTCTATACTGTGACCAGTTGCAGAAATGGTTATGCAGTGCCGCAGTCCAGCTGAAGTTCCATGTAACTGTTCATGGATGCTTGTGCTGTGTGATTGCCCAGAAGGATGACCACCTGTGTTTTTATTATAGGGTCTGTGGTGGTGAGTTTAGTAAGCCCTGAAAGGAAATTTTCCAAATCCATTGGGCTCCATTCAATATATGTGGAATCAGTTTGGCAAGGCGCATGATTTATTTTAAAAAAAGAAATCAACCTAAATTTTGTGTTCCCATTTATTTTAAAACTGGCTGAATAGCTCAGTGGGATAGGGATCTGACTTTGGAGTCAGAGGTTGGAAGTTTGATTCCCCACTGTGCCTCCAGGGAAAAGAACCGGCCTGGGTGGCCTTGGGCAAGCTGCCCAGTCTCAGATTGCTCCCAGAAAGAAGGGGAAAGTAAACCACTTCTGAGCGTTCTGTACCTGGAAAACCCTGAAAAGTGTTGCTTTTCATAAATCACAATTGACTTGACAGCACACACACACACACACACACTTATTTGAAAAGAAACTAATCCAAAAATAATAAAGAAACAAAAGACTACATTAGTCAAATACTAACATCAAACACATGAGCTATTAAATATCTGAAACCCTCCCTAAAACTTTAATGGCAACTTGAAAAGACTGCAAATCAACCAGGTATGAAGAAAGAAAAAACACCCATTATATTAAAACTCTCCAGCCTTTCGTATTTTATATGCCAAGCTAAGGACCTCTTATTACATTTTCAGTTGTTGATTTTTTTATTGTGATTTTCTGCTCTTCGGTTCCTCAGGAAAATCAGATGAAGAACACCATGGTAGTATTTATAGGCTGCATCTTCTTGGCGAGATGTAATCCATCTTCGTTAAATTCAGTAAAAGTGATAGATGGCATTTGGCAATGTAATGATGTGATCACTGTACATTGCTCCTGTAAATCATGAGCTGCTGCTTTTTGTTTTGTAGACAGTTAATCAGTTATATACCATATTACTGATTTAACTCAAATTGTCAGTAGCAGGTGAATAATGTGTGTGTGTTTATATCAGTATCATACTGCATTAATGCTTAGTTCATTTAACTATGCTAGGCATTTGAAAATCATAAACTGTTGATTTATGAACAGAATAAAATAATTACAATCTCAGTTTTAATTTAGGAGGTTGGGATAAAAGTGTATTTGAGTGTTAGTGTGTTCAGTGTTCCTGTTATTGATTGACAACAACACACAGAGACCTTTACAAACTTTTCTATATCGCTGTGCATACCGGGAAAGTTTTCCTGAAGCTTTCATGCTGCACCAATTTCTGGAGCCATAGCATTAGCAGCACACAGACAATGTCTTAAATCCTGTTGTTTTGTTATGCAAAAGGTGTAATATTCAGTCATTCCTACTTAGTGATCAATGAGTCCCTGCTAGGATCCTCAAGTATGCACCAAGCCATGGAGCGCCCACGCCCCTGAGAAGCCCAGCAGGGACTCCTCAGTTGCCATTCAGGAACAACTGAATGTTATGTTTTTTTGCCTTCCACATGCTGACTGCAGACAGTTTCTCCTCCATTCAGTATTTTGTATAAGGTTAGTATGCTAATTAGCAAAAGAGCAACCGTAGAATCCACAAGGACCCAAAAACCTTAAACAAAAAAACAGTCAACCAACAAAATACATTTCTCCAGGGATACAAAACCTGATACATATCGTGTCTGCTTTTGCTCTGTTCCATGTATTAATAAATAAAAAATACAGTAGCTATTCAGAGAGCTTAAATCTCTCATAGCTTTTCCATAATTTATGCCATCAATTTTTCTTTGTGTGTGCCAGTGGAATATTTTAAGATACAATCTTTACAGTTGGTAATTGTCCAATAAAAGTGGAATCATCAATAAGATGCCCCATCTAGTAACATTAAAATATCAAGAACTGAAGCATTTATACTTTTTTATTATTATTATTATAGTAGTGTTCCATACAATTCATGTAACAATTTTGTTTTCTCTCCAGATGTTGGCTCTGTAGAAGGTCTTGCATATCACAGAGCTTGGGATACTTTGTACTGGACAAGCTCTACTACGTCTTCTATTATAAGACACACGGTTGATCAGAAACGAAGAGGTGCGTTCAACAGAGAAGCCGTAATAACAATGTCTGAAGATGACCATCCACATGTATTGGCCCTTGATGAATGCCAAAAGTATGTGTCATATCTATCTTAATTGTTGTTTGGTGATCTTTAGCATTGTGTGTTATTTCTTTTGCTGGTAACAGACATTTCTGTGGGTTACACTATAATGCAAATTGAATGTTTTTTTTTAAACTCTGTTGTAAATTCACTCAAATTTGTAAGCTTAAGGAATGAGTATATATTCTGTTATGGCTTATGGGGAAAATACCTTGATGGTTATTAAGATTCATAGGTAGAGTCCACACATCTGGCACCTACCTTATTCTGCTTTAAGTAACTCATTAGGCTAAGAATAAAAAATGCATTATATATATTTATCTTTATATGGCTGAAATTTCTCTTAAAAAAGAACTGTGTTTGTCTTTTAACTTTTTATTATAGTTTAATGTTTTGGACTAATTGGAATGAGCAACATCCAAGCATCATGAGAGCTACACTGTATGGCAAAAATGCGCAAGTTATTGTCAGCACTGACATTCTCACACCAAATGGACTTGCCATTGATCACAGTGCAGAGAAATTATACTTTTCAGATGGAAGCTTGGGGAAAATAGAAAGGTGTGAATATGATGGATCACATAGAAATGTGAGTAAGCTGAAAGTAACTTTTTCTAGAAAGGCATTTGTGTTTTCTGGATAGGAAAGCAACATTTAACTTACAAAAATGTTGTCTTTACTGTTCAGTAAGCATATAAGGAGAAATTGTCAACTGCTGTGAGATTTTGCAATTCTGGATGAGAGCAAAAAGCAATGCTTTTTTTGGATGCTGTCAGTAATGGATGAGAGCAAAAAGCAATGCTTTTTTTTTGGATGCTGTCAGTAACAGTCCTAGCAAATGTGTAGATTCCTGCAAAAGGTTTGTATTTTGCTTAAAGTGTTGAATTTTTCACAATTTTTGCACAAAATGTAAGTTTTTTTGTTCAAAGTGCAAGTATTTTTCTGCACAAAAATTAATTTTGAGAATTTTTTCCCCAAACTGTCCTGAAACGTGGGGGAAATGCAAAAAGAAAAAAAAGGACCGAAGTCCCCATAGTAGTAGTACTATAGTAGTCAGTGGGGATACAATTTATAAAATGTTCTCTGAACTATGAGAATTGAATAAGATTTACCCAACAACAACAACAACAACAACAACAACAACAAAACCGTCCCCGCTCTCTCTTTATAGTAGTCAGTGGGGATACAACTTATAAAATGTTCTCTGAACTATGAGAAATGAATAAGATTTATCTCCCAACATCAATATCTTACTGAGAACAAGGAATGAATATGCAATCGTAAATAATACTTATATTATTCTAATGGCCTCCCCCTGCAGACAACAACAACAACAACAACAACAAAACCGTCCCCGCTCTCTCTTTATAGTAGTCAGTGGGGATACAACTTATAAAATGTTCTCTGAACTATGAGAAATGAATAAGATTTATCTCCCAACATCAATATCTTACTGAGAACAAGGAATGAATATGCAATCGTAAATAATACTTATATTATTCTAATGGCCTCCCCCTGCAGATACCTAACAGGGATGGGACTTTCATATTTCAAAAACTCCCACCATCACAATTGACCTGAAATCCCTCAAAGGGAATTATGGGAATGACTAACAGAGGAGAGGCTACCCCGCTATCTTACTATTTTGTTGCATATGTTTCAGGTTTGAAGGTGGAGGAGGACGCCCTGCTGCTCGCTAGCAATGCTGGTTTTGACCTGGCGCCGAAATGTCATCATATGTTTCAGGTTTGAAGGTGGAGGAAGAGCTCTGCTGCTCGCTAGCAATGCTACATGGGTAAGGTGGTTTCATGAAAGGCTTGATCCTAATGGGTAACAAGGATATGCCTCCCATACAGCATTGCAGCAACTCCTGGGTAGGCAGGAATGACACTTTTTTGTGTGGGGGGGGGTTCTTCAAGCAGTTTTCAAATATGCATGGATTGTACAAGAAGAAAATTGTTTGCCACCCAATTTCTATTTGTTCTTCACAAAGGCATCACAAAAGACTTAGTGATAAGCAGTTTCATGAATGTTCTTGGAGGAGGGTCATTAGTAGATTAGTAGAACTTGATTCCTTATGTTCAGAAGCCTTTCTCCTCTTTTGTGCAGCTCTGCCTGTGGAACAGAAGTGAAGTTATTAGCAGTGAGCAATCACGGCCGATTAAAAGCTCCCTTTTGCAATTTCAGGGTGAACACCATTCCCACATAATATAAACCCCCAAAGTCATTTATACTATGTATGTAGACCTGTGGCCTCAATGCTGAACATATGTCTGAACAAGTGGAAGGATCACCTGCTGAGACAAAACTCTTTGTCTTAAAGATGCCTAAATGCTTTGAGTTCTTCTTGCTGCTGCTGCTATACATGGGCCCAAATCTTGCTGGGCACAGTCTACTTGCATAACAGAAATATTTAGACACCTGCAACTTTGGTAACAAACCAGTAAATAATGCTTGATTGCTATGTAAGTTAATATAAACTGTACTCTAAATTAAACTGTTAGGGTTGAGAAAGTTTCTAGGAAGCCACATAACCCATTTTTGTGATTTTTAAAAATGTACTTAATATTTTTCAGAGATCTTTGGGGAGGGACTGCAAATTTAGCTTCAGGACTACATGTTTCCCACCCAAAACCGATCCAACTAATGTGCATACCAGCAATATTAATGTACTTTAGTAGCACTCCGTTATTCAGTGTGGTGCAGTGGATAAAGTGGCATACTAGTACTCAGGAGACCTGTACTTGATGCCTCATTTGGGCAGGGAAATTCACAGAGGGTTGGGTTGGAACTGGTAAAAACCTCTTCTTAAATATCTTAGTTAGCTGGAAATCCCTATTAACACCTCTAGAAGTCAGTTCTGACTTTATGGTACATAACGTAATGATCAGTATACCGAACTAACATTCTACTGGGCTGACACAGCACTGTATCTATTATAAAAATGTCCATGTTCATATAAACCTGTATCCAATATTGTCATTGTACCACGGCAAGACCTATTGCACATTTTCAGAGTTAGAGCAGAAGTATCATCTGACCATTTTGTTGAAACAGTTTTGTAGGCAGTTATATAGCTGCTTGCTTTGCAGTATGTTTCACAACTTTTTTAATCCATCATAACTACCAGATTATAACTGAATGGGGATTTTCATTCTACTAACATTATACTGGATTTAAGACCATTGTTGTTCAGGAATTGCTTGGTAAAAAATTAAGAACACACAATTCATTCATAAGTGTAAGCAGGATAGAAGGATATTTTTCATTAGGGAACTTTTATCCTGGCCATGTCTTTAATTCAATCAAGAGAACACAAAAGAGTTCAAGTGTCAGAACAGAGTTTTTGCTTTTTAGAAAGGAAAGAAAAATGGTAATGTGGGTAGGGAAAGTTAGGGAAGTTGGTCAAAAGTCAGGGAAAGTCAAGGAAATTGTGATTATACTGGTGTTTTGCTTTGCTTTGAACTTCTGCTGCTGAAAAAAAGGACAGTGGCAGATTAGTCTGTGGGGAGTTTCCTGACGAGCCCTTTAAGAAAAGGCAAGGAAAATATATATTTTTAATTTTTTATAAGGGATGCAACACATTTTTGCTGCCCTTATAGAATCTTTAAAAAAATAACTTTCTCTGTCCCTCTGCACAGGAACAGAGGAAGTGATTAATTTGCGAATATGCTGAAATGGCTCTTTTGTCAAGTTACTTGACAATATTGGAAATTCCGACTGGAAGGAGTCAGACCAAATATTTATTTATTTATTTATTTATTTATTTGTTTGTTTGTTTGTTTGTTTGTTTGTTTGTTTGTTTGTTTGTTTGTTTGTTTAATTTAT